CTAGAGACGATAAACGACAATATTCATACCAGTGCAAACACCATAACAAACATACTAAAAATAATAAAATAACCTTCTGATTCAGTCGAGAAAATGAAAATCTTTTACCTTCCCTTCGGTACGCCATAAGGCACGATATCCTGTTTTAACCGTCAATATGTAGGGTGAAATTTTATAGTGACCGATAGCGAAAACCAGGACGGGCTGGAACCTTTCCCAAGGAAAGATCGAAATATGTAAATAAAGATTTGGGCCTCCCATAATCAGCAATTTTGTAAGGGCGCGCGGTACAAATTTAGTTTTTACCCGACTGCCTCAGGAGGGCTATGATTTTCGAGAGTATGTATGTTTGTATGTATGTGATGTATGTATGTGGACAAAAAAAATCTTTTTCACGGCCTACAGCCCAAACGGATAGTTGTATTTTGACATATGAAATGTCGTTAGATTCGTCTCAGCAGCGCGAGTGACATTGGCTATATTAAAAATTCATAAGTTTAAGATGGCGGATTTTTATCGCAAAATGCAACTGTGTCGGCAATGACCGCTGTCGGGTTTTTTGTTTTTTAATAGATTTGCTTGTTTATTTTTTTGGCCTCTGTTCCATGGGGAAAGTTGGTCCCTATCACGAGCCCGTCCTGCATTTTTGCCATCGGTCCCTAGTAAATTATCCCCATATAAAAACTATATAATTTTTTGCCAGTTTCTATAACTGAAACGTGCTGATCTTTTGTTCCTTATAAATTGGACTCTTCAAATGCTAAGTTACTTATACGTAAGGTCATGGTTGATTTGGTTGTAGTGTAGCACGCAACACAACGTGTTACGGACCATCACGTTAGTACCTAATGCGAAATTAGCATAATATTATAAAACTACCTATACGATGTCAAGCGCAAATAAGTGAAAGGATTCAGCAATATGGGTTACAAAAGTCTAAGTACATACAAAATACTCGTTTTATAGAAAATATAAGATACCTACCTACCTACCCTGGTCTTTTAAATACATTTACCTACAATAAATAAGAATCTATTTCAGCAACTCATTTAGTTGCTTTGCTTCCAATCTTATTCTAAGAGCACCAAGCATTGGGGCACCTAGGCCCTAGGCACCCTAGGTTCTAGGGTGCGTCTCCTCTAAGGGAGCAGTACAGAGCGCAGCCAAATTGACCGATCATAAACCTCGAAACCTTCGCTCCGCTACGTTGACTACACTGTGATTGGCCTATTTGACGACGCTCCGTACCCTTATCAATCAAACCAGACATATAAAAATTCTCTGTCATACGTAATTTTCAGCCGCTAGAGTCGTGGTGTTAGTGGCGATACTCGTAGCGCTTGCGTTGAATCCCGGTGTATTGGCGAATGTGGTGCCTGAGGTAACATCTGGCACGCCAGCAAGCTTGATCGTGATCGTTCTATTAAAGATGGTGCTGGAGAGCTTATCCCGGCCTAATGCAATGCCGTATGTCACACAGTACAGCACTATAAGACCCAAAGCTGAGAGGATCACTAGCATGGAAGATTGTGCCGGCCGCCGCCAGTCGAGGACCGCGTAGATAAAGGGGTTGCCTAACCTGAAAACAAAAAGTTTCGTTTTAATAGGTAGATAAGTATTTCTTGTATCGAGAGACTCAATAGAATCTGTCGGTTTGTGTCTTTGTCACAAGGCGCTGTATCCATTGCCGACCCTTAGTTGCTGTCATATGTGAAGCAGCCTCAGGAGTTCGGGAAGCCTCCTGGCTCTATCATAACCGACATGTCTTTGCGGTTCTTAGCTCCAGTACCTATAAGAGAAGGTATATTCAACTTACGCGTCCGTCCCGGCGACACAGAAGTATATTCCAGTGAAGATTCCGTTCCAGATGCCGATCCTTAGTTGGTGTCACATGTGAAGCAGCCTCATAGGAGTTCGGGAAGCCTCCTGGCTCTACCATAACCGACATGACTCTGCGCTTCATAGCTCCAATAAAGAGAAGACAAATTCAACTTACGCGTCCGTCCCGCCGGCACAGAAGTAAATCCCAGTGAAGACGCCGTACCAGATGCCCACCCCTAGTGGTTGCCACATGTGAAGCAGCCTCATTGGGGTCCGGGAGGCCAGGAGTTCCACCAGCACCAGTACAGAGTTGACTCCATGCGTCATCAGATCCAGCACGAAGAGACGAGTTCCGATGAAGTCAATTGTGTCTGCAATGGGGTAAATATAGTCAGTTATGTGTTTATCAACGAAAAAAGTAGAAAGTAGGAAAAGGTATGTAACTAACTACAGTCAGGTTCTCGTCAAGTTAGGAACTCAATCTGACAATGTAAGTCTAAGAACGGTCTAGAGTCCAAACTGTCTAACCAATTCCGAGTTTGACTGTAGTTTTCTTATTGTTTTGAATTTACTAGATATTTTCAACTACCTAAGCATTTAATTTGGAAATCATTATTGTATTCCCCATACGGTTATTATCTCTACTCTACCTAAACGAAGGAAGTTAAGAAATTCCTTATGAATGATATAAAATATTACTTCCAGTTACAGGCACACATAAACTGCCTAGATCGAGTTTCCAACTGAAACTGTTTTGCTACTCAAATGATGTACGAATTACGATTCTCAAGATTTAATGTAATGTGAGACGCACATGAAACGTGTCAGTTTAATAAATAGGCCATTTTCATAAAAGATGACGCTCTTCTAGGAGCGGGATATCTTGACTAGAGAAATTATGAATGCTATCTCGGTGGGCAATAAAGATTTTGTTACAGTTGCCAATTATTTCTGGGAAGACTTAGTGGAAGATTTATTTAATCAAAGAGGAAATTTTATCCACACTCATAAGACGACACTACACCTAGCATAGAAAAAAGTATTCGGTGATCATCAAGAGACGATTTACCGAAATTGTAGAGAAAGACCACAAAATAAGAAATTGCGGACCTTTTAGGGTTTCGTAGTCTACTAGAAACCCTTATAGTTTCGTCAAGTCTGTCTGTCTGTCTGTCTGTCTTTCTGTATGCCGCGCCCTCATAACTCCGTCAGTTTTAGAGCTATCGACATCAAATTTGGTGTGAAGATAGAACGTCTTGACCCAAATTTAGAAATGTGAAGAAAAAATTGTTTTAATTATTTTTTGGTCCCCCTCCCATACAAGTGAAAGGGGGCAAAAAAAATTTTTTCTCTTGTAATATTGAGTAGGGCATCGTTGAATAGGTCTTTTAAAACTAAGGGGAGGTTTCTTTGAAACAAAGTGACTAAAATGTTTCTGTCTCGTGATATTTGCTTTTAAAAGGGGCGTTTTTGAGCCATAATTTGTTCCAACTGTAACTCCTAAAGTATAAACGCAAAAAATTTGAAAAAAATATGGAATGTACTTCTCAGTCTGAAGTTACCATGAAAACTATAACGGACACTGTACCACTAAAGATTTCAGAATAAAAAAAGTTTTTCTATTTGCGGTTGGTAATCATACAGCTGCAAACAAACCAGCCACAAAATTAACTTTGTAACGCTGATAACCTGATATTTAAACGTTGTTGACTACGAAACCCTATTTGTGGGCGTGTCTGACACGCTCTTGGTCGGTTTTTATTTTATCTGATCAGGCCGTCGCTTCGAAACAAAATCACTAAGTCCAATATCATCAATTCTGAACTTTAATCTTTGCAAAATACGATTGTTGTTACAACTAATCAAAAAGAGGAATATATGACCATCCAATTTAATATGGCTTTTTGACATTTCGTATTTGGCTTGGATAGAGTAAATAGAGACAATAATGATGGTGTTCACCGGATTGTAAAATTAAAATATTCTTACAGTGGCTTCTGTTGACTAGTATAATAGAGATGGATTCCTTACCGGGAGAGTAAAGCAGAAGCCAGTAGAGCAGCGTGATGAGGAACGAGAGGCCAATAGCCACGTTGTGCAGAAGCCAGTACACGCTCACGTACCACGGTAGCTCGCCATCGTCTGCAATGGAAAACATCCACATCACATGTTATAAATTGAAAATGAGAAAATTGAATTCACTAGCGGCCGCCGGGACTTGAACCCAGGACTGTGGATCACCGTTCCACCGCTCTGCCAACTCAATCCACATGTTAACCCTGAGTAACCATGAGTTGGAGGTCCCGAAACCTACTTTCCTGAAAAGTTAAGTTCATCAGATTAAACTGAACAGCTTTGAAAAATTGGACCTCTCATACACACAGAAAAACAGTTGACCGATGTTTCGAAGAAAGTTGATCAATGCAAGAAAGTTGAAAGTTTGGAGAAAGTTGTTCAGTTTGACCTTAGCGTTTTCGGCAAAGTCAGTTGTTCTGTTCAGCTTGGCAAATTCACTCTGTATTTACCTAGGTCAGTGGTTCCTGACCTTTTTGATATCGTTACAGACTGGTCAATGAATGATATATCATAATCCTGTCATTCCTGTCCTAAAAAGGAAACACTTTCCCCTACTAGGACCTATCTATCTACCTACATGCACACTAAGTGAGTAAAGGAAGATGAGATAAATAGACAACCTACTATTTTAACTCGCATCGTAACATCAAGAAAAAAGCAGTAGATCAAGGTGAACTTGTTTGCGCATAAACATTAGGTAACGAGGTGAGGCAATGACCTACAACAGTTAAAACTGAACTATTATGTTCTTGATGTAGGCACCTGTATTGTACTGTACCTACTTATATGCTAGGCAGGTGGATATTTCCGTGTTAGTGTAATCTTAAACACGTGTAAATTCATAATAAACGATTAAAATTGAGTACCAAATTTTCACCGCAGGCCGGATGAAAAGTTTGCAAGCTTCCTAAATTGTATACCTAACACGGGAAGTGTTTTAAAAATTTATTATTCAATTTATCGCGGGTTTTATCGCTTTGGCTAGATCCAATCTGTAAAGAATGGATTAGTTGCTGGGAATTAGTTGTAAAACTAATCCTAGTAGATGGAGCCCTACCACTAGTGGTCAAGATACACTTGCTTAATTCGCGGGCTTGGAGTGAGCCGCTGTAGCCTAGTTGGTAGAGGCGTCGCCAGTATAGATGGTGAAGGCCGCTGATTCATATCCAGCCTGCGGTGAAAATTTTGCAAAAATGATCATTAATAGGTGTTATTTAATATTATCAACTTACTTAGTTTTGAAAATATTTTTCATATAAGTATGCTATTTTATACAGGGTGTAAGGGACATCCTTGACTTCCCTGATTGTGGTTTTGTATAGGTAGGAGGTCGATTTTTTGTCGTTCCCTGACATGTTTCCAGGGGTAAGTTGTTCAGTATCATAGTCCGCATGCACCCTATCTGTATAGGTACGGAGGGCCATTTCTTACAGCTGGATAATGCTATACGACTAATAGGCCCGTTCATATTACAGCGCCATACCATACCATAACAGCCACAACAGTCCACTGCTGGACATGGGCCTCCCCCTATCGGGGGGTATTGCCATACTCACCACGCTTGGCCGGCGGATTGGCGAGCGCAGTGTAAGATGTTGCATTTACAGGGAACGCTGCTACCCATTACCTGGATGAATATCCCTTAGTCGGTTTTTACGACACCCACGGGTTACAGCGCCATTGCCGCGATATTTGTATGGAATTTTCGCACACCGAATCGAAATCGGCGACAGGAACTTGCATACGAATACCGCGACGATATCGCGCCGGTATGCGGTACTGCGAGGGTTATACCGCTGTAATGTGAACGGGCCTTAAACTAAAGGCGCTTCGTTTCGTCTGACATGCAAGCTCAGCAAGGCCGAAGATTAGGAAGCAAGCAATAGTAACGGATGGAATGTACAACATTGAGTAGGTATGAGTAAGATATTTATGAAACCTTCAACAACTAGCGGCATCACGTATCGTTGCATAGTCTTTGTGTGCCTTTGTTGAATCAAAATGTTTTATGAAAACACTATTGTTGTATCTAAGTACCTCCTATACAGGGTTTACGGAATAGCTATTCTAATGCTCATAGATTGCATTCAGACCATGAAATTAATTAACTTCTCATAAAAAACCTTCATTAAATAACAAAAATATGACTTCACAAACTTTCTTTTTGTCATTTCCTGAAATATTTTCTTATTGGAAGTTATATTTTTATGCTCTGAATGCACCCTATCAATATTCCAAGAGTTGTCCTTTACACCTGTATACCTACCTATAGATGGATACCGATGGATGATGTGAACCAGATATCTTTGCTGCACCTGCACGTGAATATTTTCCAATAATTGTATTCATATTTACGATTGTAGAACGTGTTTATTCAATTTAAGTTACATAATTGAAATTTTATTATAAACTCTTCCTACACGTGCAAAACAAGTAATGGGATCGATAACAAAGTTACAACATAACTTTTGTTTGTAAAATAGAGGTACAATGCTTCCATTGTGTGAATTAGCGATTTGCAGGTTCAGAGATGATCAAACGTGGTCTAAACCGTCGAAAAGCTTAGTTTCTGAAAAAGTAGGTCATCCTGACTGAACTAAGCTAAAATGTTTTTGGTCTTCTTTTTTTGTCTAGTTGGGCACGTAGCAATCGGGTGTTTCACTCGATGAATCCTGAAGGTTTTTTGGTTGCGAATCTAGTCTTTTCAAGTAGTTGGGTCTTGGGTAGGCCATTGAAAATTGCGTTAATAGCTGTCGTGATTGCAATGCATCGTTTGAACAAAATATCCATTCACTTAAGTTCCACTGAATAACAGTCTGTTGACTTAATCAATGATTGCGAGGTAGGTACCTACTTGACTTCAAACCACCATCTCGGCAGTATACTTAACTCCTACATAATGCGCGACGAGCGATGATGACCCTCAAATGTTGGTGTGGCACCCACTTATCTAGCGACAGTGACTGCAAATTCATATGTTACGACACGTCAAACAACATGGTGTGACGATGACCCAAGAGTAACTAGCTAACCAAAGGCTCTGGGGCAAAAAAATAACTAGGGCTCTAAGTACTCCCTGAATTTTATGTACTTTCTTTACTCTACATTTTTCGTAATCCATCTTCGTCCACCTCTACACCTATCAACCTACTTAAAATAGCCACGTTCTGAAAGGCTGGATTGGTTTCTTCATGACGCAGAATCGCGAACCTATCTATAAAATATACGCTAGCAAAGCGATTGTATTTTTTCGAAACTTTGTGGCGAATTCCATGGGTGCACGTGGAATCGAGTGCCTCCCGAGGCCAACGACTCCGAAGGACCGGGTTTTCCCTTTGTAGCAACGCCATTGACGACTGACGTCCCTCAAATGTTAGAGGCAGACAGTGACGCCCACTCATCTAGCGACTGGAAATTCATATGTTACGCCATTTCAAAAGACATGGTGCAAGTGGGCCAGTGCCGTGCCGTGCGCCGGCGCAGCAATCTCCGTCCGCGGTTGCGGCATCGGACGATACACCACACACCTTGATGATGAGAGTACAGAGTGTAATATCGTCAGTCAGGTCGTTGGACGACTCGGTGTATTATGGTATTACTCTAAGAAAAATAAGGGTGTAATACGTATATGGTAAAACTTGTCTCGTGACTTAGCACAGCCTCTGAAAATAGATTTTCCCGTTCTTTGAACCGAAATTTTGCTCTACAGTTTTTGGGAACATATACGAGTTATGGTTTTCTTCTTTACAGATTGACCTCAGCCAAAGGTATTTTTGTAGGTATTTGTTAGAGAATGTCTTTTTGTGATTTCCTAGAGTTCTTAGAACAGAGGCTTAGGCTGAGGATTCTGCAAGAGGTATAATTTTAAGAGGTGAATGTTATTTCCTAACATCTAGTAGGTGTGAGTACCAAGTGACGTTAATGGGAGTAAAATTTAAGTTATTTGTTTGCGATAACAACCGGTTTTGCATGTACGTCATATATCTAATATAGGTCCACGCTCTTCTGTTTTTATCTAGAAGAATAATTAAGTACTATACCTACTATCGACACCCAAGAACGGTAGAATTAAGTACTCACTATACTATCGAAACCCCAAAACGCGACTGATAAACATGAGCCTTCCCATTTAGAAGAATTATCTAGAGATTTAGCGATAAGTAAATAGATATTTTATCGAATACATATAGCTCGTATGTAAATATTTTAGTTTTCTCTGATCGGAGTCAAAGTCTAAAACAATTTTAATCCATAGGACAATGAGTAGGTTAGATAAGTTTAATTTGTTTCGAATCAGATATTCTAATGGTAATTCAAACGGTGTTTCCACAAGAAACTGGTTGCAAACGTTTGATTATGACGATGTAGAAGTATACAGACATTTCCATTTTCCATGAGGGAAAAATTATGCTTTTTTCTTACATTACCTATGTGGAAATCCTGCATGCAATACAAATAAACAACAAAACTGTTTTCCAATGTAGATATGTATAGCTACTAGAAGTAGGTAGGTAATCATCGTAGAAATACCTAAGAAACCCAGTATAGTAATAAATTAATGAAGAAACCGGTTAAGAGAATTTTCTCGATAGTTTATTAAAAGTCTACGTAATCTAGGACTCTAGGTATGGTATGTGCCTGCCTTGCCTACCGTATTATTTTATTTAGATGTCATTTATTTAGGTTCGCATCAATCTCTTACCATAACCATAACAGCCACAACAGTCCACTGCTGGACAGCTTGCCATACTCCCTTCTTCCTCATGGCCAAACTATTTCGCCTATACTCATCACGCTTGGCAGGCGGATTGACGAGCGCAGTGCAAGATATCTAGACACACGGCAGTGTGTCCGCCAAGTTCGAGCAACCGACACACCGGCCGTGGGTTATATTACACGAACCATTTCGGGCCAAGTTCGACCCACCTATAATTCAAAATCTATTTTATCTACGCATATGAAATTTCTAGTATCTGTTGAGATCTACTTACTTGTCTAAAATACAAAATTTCATTAATGTACCTATTGTAGGTCTTGAGATATTGACGTCAGAAAATCGCTATTTTTACTATACACTCACTGACTGACTCACTCACTCACTCATCAAAAACCTAGACCACTTCCAATGGTCGTATTGACTTGAAATTTGGCATGGAGGTAGGTCTTTAGGTCAAGGTAAAGGAAAAAATCTGAAAATGGCCAAGTGTGAATCGGTTTTCAAAATAATGAAGGTGTAAATTCATACCCCTAAGGAACTAAAACAAAAACTAACTAGCCGTGTGGTGCCGGCAGAGTAGAATAGCACCTCCCTCTCTCTTCCCGTGGGGGTCATAAGAGGCGACCGAGGGATAAACCCGACCCAAACAGCCAGAGCCAACCGTATGGTGGCGGTCAATCCACCACAAAAGCATTCCCAAGGAGGGTTGACGTCTGATGGGCGGCCGGTCGTAAAATTCAGCCAAATCCTTTTGCAACACGATTTTGTGTTCAACGAAACGTGTCGCGCTGACCCCAAGTAATTGGGATAAGGGCAGGAAGATGACGATGGAACTAAAACAAAAAAATTACCTATATGTTCCAATGGTCGTACCGACCTAAAATTCGTTACGAAGGTTTGTATTTAGTCAAAGTGAAGTAAAAATCTGAAATCGGCCAAGTGTGAGTCACTTTCGAAAATAACGAATGTGTAACTTTGATCCACTAAATGACTATAAGTATGTAGCGAAAATGATAAATAATAAGTAAGTACTTATTTAAGTAGGTACCTACATGTATACCCCCATATAGTAGATAATTGATAAATGCGCCCGACACAAGACAAATCTCTGTGTTTGTCTGTCGCAGGAATCAAACCCGCGACGACATACAATATTCAGCAAAGGACAGGCCTATGTAGCCCTGTCCCGAGTGAAAATTATTGATGGGTTACATCTTATAAACCTAGATCCTAGATAAATTAAAGCTTAAGAAAGTTCTATTATAGAATATAACCGGCTACGTACATTATACCGCCCTGACTTGGCAAGCTTATCAGTAAATAGAAAACGTGTAAAAAAAAACCAAGATATTGAATGGGCAATGCGCTCTAGCGTGTCAGTCGTACAAGACAGCATACAAAATGACAAAACAAAAAAGTTTCCTTTGCCACGCAAACGTAGAAAAATTTAATTAAAAAAAGC